ATCAGTGAGAGCTCACTACTCTCATAGAGTCTTAGCGAAATGCAAGGTGCAACCTACCACCGAGCATAATGCTACAAAAGAAAGGCATAAGAGTCACCTTTCTTAGAAAAGTGCAGCGGCCACTTTTCTACACCAACTCCAGACTCTATCCAACTCAATTGCCTTAGCCCCAAAAGTCAGCATCCCTTTTAGGTTGCATCATACAAACTACCTACCAAGGTCTAAGCTAACCGAAGTCAACTCCAACCCCTTCACTAGTTTGTACTGGCCTACGAAAACGGAATGGTTTTCGGACAAAATGATCAATAGATCAGCCATTGGAAAAGTCTAAGAAAATTTGTGGAAAATTTCCCATCCTAGATAAAGTATGACTCTCAATCCAGGATTGCAAACTTTCAAGACTTCACCAACTTCCTCCTACCAACAACTTCACATAGGCTCACCTCAACACAAATTCTCATGATCGAACAACATGCTTAAGCATCGAACATCTTTGCCCATATAACCGACATCCAACACCGACATCCGCAAAGTGCAAAATGAACATCCAAGGCTTGATCACGAAGACCACATCTTCGGATATCCATATTGCACTAACACTCTTCTTCAATCACCTTCAAGATCAAATGTGAAGCCAAAACACTAACAAGAAAAATGACATGGAAAAATCAAGGTCCAAGGAAAATTCCTCATCACTTGAAATAACAATGCCACTTCCACTAACACAAGTGCTAGTGACGTCAATGCCCCAATTCCACATCTTCTCCATCCAACAATCTACTCCAAGTGCTAACGGATCAACCAACAAGCTATAGCAAATGAATGCTACAACCCTTTTTCCAAACACTAATGGGCAAACCCTCAAGGAAACAAGGTACCAACATAAGCTTAGCATAATGGACCACCATTGAGAATCCAGTCAAGGCTACTACAATGCTACTTCGTGCAAGTAGACTAGCTTCTCCATCAACCACTTTGGGGTTGATCATCATTTACCCAAGCAACTTCGTAAACACATTGCTCATTATCACATGGATATGATATAAATCACAATGACTTGATCATCAATTGAGTAACGCAATGAGCAAAGCTTATGTCATTACTTCAAACGTTCATGTGAATATCAAATGCCAACTCGATTCGACAAAATGCAACATAAATGCCACACTCCACCAATAGAGGTTTACGACACCCAACACCACTAACTTTTGTTCACAACACGGACAAGCTCATGCCACTCTCTTTCCGACCAAACTCAACACTAATCCAACACCAAGCTACTCAAGGAGCAATAGCAAGGTTCCCCGGAAAAGAATTGAGCATTGCAACCCAAGTCTTCCAATAGCGAGCCTAGACAAAATGGTTTAGTGTTTCACCACTATCCATCCCATAACTCACCACTTGTAAGACCACCATCTCCAACATGCATCAAGGTAGGGACTCTTGATTGCATAATGTGAACACAAGCAATGAGTTAACACCTCGTTGCAAATCATCTCTCCAAGAAGAGAAAATGATTTACGTATTTGATCCTCCGTCCTCGATGACTCTCTTTTCGGTCTCATCTTTGACCAAACCTCAAACTTGCTTTCGCACTGCCTTCAGTTCAATCAAAGAAAAGTTTATAAGAGAGCACGGCCATGACTATTTGAACCAATAGACTAATCCCTTATAGTCTTGATTGATCCACTTATAATCATGCCTAGGAAGGATCCACTAGTGCCGTGCTAAACAGCTACGGACCAGCCTATTTGCCACTCATAGCAAACTCAGGGAAAGTTTACTTTCACCCACGGTACATGGAACAACTCATGGAACCACCGATAGGCTAACATTAATCCTGCCAACTCAAAGTGTAACCTCGAGTTGCTAATGTGCCTCACTCACGAGCTCAAGCTTAAACTCGTGCTACTGGAACAACTCAATCCTTCCTATGAGCCCAAGAGCAAGCTCATATAATACGGTACAAAACGGTAACCAAAACCATACCCAAGGAACGATTGCGAAGTCATTGCACCCAAACGTGTACCCACTCGGATCATCGTTTTCATCTCTGCGTATGCAACAAGACTAGTTGCCCAATCTCATTGAATAGTACTCGCTGAGACTCATTCTCTGATACCAAATGTAGCGCACGTGGTTTTGACCCTTTATCCTATGGTGATTTACCATAGGATAACACCACGAAGCGGAACCTAAACCCTCTTTGTGCCACGTGACAGATGCCACGTGTCACATACCACGTGTCCGTGCCACGTGTCCATAGGAACCCGAGGTTCAGGGCCTTGGGCCACTGAACGAAGGAACGGTGCCAAACTCCCAAGCGTGACGCCAAGGAGTGATGAAACCGGACCACGGAGCAACTCCCGAGCATATAGCCCAAGGAGCAAAGGGACAGGAGCCCGGAGCGACTTGGAACAGTCCTGGAGCAACCAGCATACCAATGCCAGGACCAGCACGCAAAACGGAGCCAAACGGAGTTTGGCGCTATTTCGGCATACCGGTGGCCTAACGTGAGGATATGGGTACTCCACCAACTAGCATGGAATGGAACTTGGGCTTAGACCCAAGCCGGACGCAGAACAAGGACAGGCACGCAAGCGGGAGCTAGACTATGCCTCAGGTTGGTCGGCCATGCCCGACCTACCCACTATCCCTACTATACATTTGGAACCCCCCATAGCCCCCCCCCCTTGAGGAACACACGCTTTGGGCTTTCACCCCAAGCCTCCCTTAGTATCAGGAGTTAGTCTCTGGGACAAGCTTGAAACTTACTAAATATGGAATGTCCCTAGATTGTGAATTTGGACACGGGACGAACACCATTGTGTTCAGGCCGATCTCTACATTCCGTAGATATGCCAAATGAGCAAATCTGGACACTTTCCATAAATAGCATTTGGGACCAAAATGAGACTAACACAAAGGGCATGATAGCGAGGGTGTTTGGCAGACACGGTAAGCTATCATGTAGCGATATTGAGGGACCAATCTCAATATCGCGGGGGTTCCTAACACTAGCAAGTGCAAGCCAACATCATGAGTTTCTCATCACCGTGTCAAGTCTGCTTGACTAAATGACAACTTAGGATTTCCTTCCTTAGTGCCCTTCCGGTCTAAGTGCACATGTGATGACCAGTTTCTCAACTAGCTTAGGTGGAAACTGATAACGGGTCCAGCAATACCGACCTCCTGCCATCGTGGCAGTAAGGTAAGAGTGTCCGTAAGGACTAGCCGATAGGTAACTTTCGATACCCGAAGTCACATGCGCGACAGTGGGACAACAATAGCACTACAACTCCCATCATTATCCACCTGTAAAGTACAAAATGGATGACTTAGTATTAGTTCGTTTTCCCATGTGGTTTATCTAAGGGGCTCTTGAGCTCCAAACAACACTAGAAACAATTAGCCATCTTTTAGATGTGTGTAAGATTCTTTTATTGCTCTCATTTTGCTAAATGCTTGCTTTCAGGAGCTTGAAGAAGCAAAGCGTTTGCACGAAAAAGAGGTAAGGTTGCTAAGTGCGAACGACAACTTCATGCTGGTCTTTGTTTGATTTTCACCAGCCAGATTGAAAAGGAACGGATTGAAAGAAAGAGCGAGATAGGCTCTTTTGCAAAAGCACTAGGCTGAACTTCAGGCCCGGGTTGAACGTCAAGAGGAAGAGCAAATGAAGCAAGAGGCTTCACACAAAGACCTGATGGATGTGAGAGCTTAATCACATGTTTTGGTCAATATTATGTTCGGTTTGATTATTTTCTCAGCAACTTCGAGCTTATTACAAAGATGAGATCAGTCGGCTGAAGGTAAGCTAGTCAGTTGATTCGATTTGTAAACTTTTATACTTTTGCAGGTAGAGAACAAAGAGAAGGTGTCTACACTTCAACAAAAATATGATGCATTGCAATACGACTTGACTACCAACGTAAGATTTTAATGATCTGGTCCAGTTTCACCTATCAATGGTTCTTTTCTTTTCTTTTTTTTCAGAAACTAGCCATTCAGAACAGGCTGACTGTTGTTTACAAGGAAAGGGAAGCTCTAGCAAAAGAGACGGCCATGCTGAAAGGAAGCCTCAGAGAGGCCAATTCCTTGATTGAGAACGCTCATGCGGAGCATCTCCAGGTGGTTTGCTTATTCTCTTGCTTTGGTTTCCTACTTTATCGTTCTTACGCTCTTGTATGATCTTGCCACGTAAAGGATTGCAGACGAGGTCTAGTTTGGAAGACGACATCCAAGTCCTGAAGGAAGACAACAGGCATTTGGTGCTACTCGTTTTGACTTCCTAATTATTTACATTTACAATTGCTTCATGTTGATCACCATATCAGGAGGAGCAATTGAAAGGTGCCCTCGCAGATATGTACAAGTTGTCCGAGCATGCAGAGTAAACTCCTGGCTCTGTTTGTCCGGTATAATTTTTTTCTTTCTTCCGAGTGGCCTTCCACAGTGTTGAGAAGAATGCATCTGCGACAAGCTTGGCTGAACTGGTAGTACTTCGTTTTTCTAATTTTCGATAAATCTTGTTTTGTTTTGGCACGATCCAAAGATTAAAGTACGAGTTAGATAAGATGACTAGCAGCAGTAAGAAGAAAGAGGACATTATCAGTAATGATAACTGCAAGGTTGGGGATTGCATGGGTTTTATGTTGAAGAAAAATTTTAACTAACGTTGATTTTTTCAGATTGAACAACTGCATTCATCCTTAACAAAGACCCAGAGAGAGCTGGACGTTGCATTGGCAGAGGTTTGCTGAAAGTGTTTAAGTTGTTATGGACTTTGTCTCAACAGCTCGAGAAAGAACGATATAACATAGCAGTTAAGGACGACGAGATTCAAGAGCTAGATTCTATGAAGAGAGGAATTGGTGAAGAAGCGTCCCAGCTGCGTTCAAGCCTTTCAGAAGTATAATCAAAAGTCCAAACTTTCTTATTTGCTTCCTGTGTTTTAGAAAGAAGACTATATTCAACGGCTGGAGGTCAAGCTTAAAATTCGCATGGCCGAACATGAGTTAAAACTGAAAAACATGGAGGAAGACTTTTCGCGAACGGTAGTACTTTTCTTCTTTCTTGTTTATTTATATTACTGCTCCTTCTTGTGTTCTACAGAGAGAACTTCAGCGAGAGAAGCACCGGAAAGAAGTCAAGGGATTGCAGTCTAAGCTGAAGGAGCAACAACTGAAACACCTGACTCATTTAAATATTTATCAGAAAAGGGTAAGCAAATGAAACATATGTTTTGATATCAATTGTAGTGTCGTATGTGAAAGGTTGATCACCTCGAGACTGAAATTGAGACGCTGAAAGTACATGGTGAGCATGAGCTTAAGTCTCTAAAATCCCAAGTAACAGATCATGAAGACAATTTTAAACTGGTACACTGAAACTGGTCGACGATTAGAGCTTTATGTTCTGATGTGAAGGTGTGCTTGAATTTCGAACGAAAACTTCAAGAGTCTCAACGAAAGGGTACACAGCTGGAAGAGTCACTGGAGTTGCTGGCTCAAGAGGTAAGAAGATTGTCTCGTGTTTATTTGATCTGAATCAGCTGGTAGTTTTCAGCTTCGTTCGAGAGAGAGGCAAAAGGTTGCTGACATCGAATCATTAAACCGAGAACTTGAGGATGCGAAACTTGCGGAGAAGAATGCTGAAGCGGCAGCTTTGCAAAGCTATTTGGCCAAGCTTGAACAGTAAACGAAAGACAAGGACGCGTTCATAATCGTAGTTGTGATCACTGTAGGAAGGAGAAGGAATTCCATCAGAACGTGGAAGACGAACATGAAAGAGCTGAATGCGCGATTCAAAAGTTGAACGAGATGCATGCTATCGCTATAGAAGTTGCTCTCCATAACCACCAGGTTGGTCCTGTGTTTTTTCTTCTTTGCTTGTTTAGTAATTGTGCAAATTCTGCAGATGGAGCGTGACGCTCTTAAAAACGCGTTTGAGGAAACTAAGGTAAATCATTTTCAATTTATACTCGAGAAACACTTAATCTGCATGACAGGCACAAGAAATTCGAGTGGCAGCTGAGAAATATCAGAAACAAATAGAGAAGACTGAGGCTGAGTTTGAAGAGGAGCGCAGAAGGTTCAGGCGTGAACAGGATGAAACACGAGTTTTAGTTGTTCAGCAACAAAATGCTTTAGTAATGGCTCATCAGCACGCTCTTGAGGTATTTCCTGTTGCTTTTCAGAATTTCCTTGTATGTAACGCATTGGAAAAACACAGGCTCAAATGAAAAAGGCAGAGGTTGAGGTGACTCAACTCAAAGAAACTCATGCGAGGGAGATGGCTATTGCTGTGTCTCGGTCCACTGAAAAGGTAGTCTTGGAATCTCTGACCTTGCATGAAGACCACAAGAAGCGGCTAGAACGTCTTTCTGAAGTCCATAGATCAGAGACGCAAAAACTGAACGAGATCCACGCAAAGGAAACAGAGAAGGTTGGCTTGCTCTTATTTATATTGTCTTCTTTCTAACTCCTCCAGGCAGACTAAATCCCATAACTCTCACTTGATGCACCATATCACCGAGCTGGAAAACATGATCACTCTTAAGGTTCGCCTCATCACCATCAGTTGAAAGGGCATTTAGTCTCTCACTTTTGATTCTTACAGGAGAAAAAACTGAAAGATTTAAGCGATAACAGCCGTGAGATTGAAATAAAGAGCGAATCTGCTTTGAAGGAGTTGAGGCTCAGCCATGAGAAAGCGTAAGCTTTAATATAGTCAAGCCGCACGTATTCCTTTCTTTGTACTGCCAGCTTCAACTTTCAGCGGTGCAAGTTTTCCAAGGACAAAAAAGCTATGGCAAAGCAACTGGAAAAGAAATACCGGACCGAGCTAGACGCCTGCAACACGTTTCATGCACAGCAATACCAAAATCTCCAACAAGATCTCAACCGTAGCAAGGTAGCTTGTTTCCCTTTTACATTCTTCTGTATCAATCTTGGAATCGCCAGCTTGTGATGAGGCAAAAGCAAGCAGAAATGACAGAGCTACAGCAACAGTTTGTGAAGCTGAAGGTAACGTCTCTTTGTGTCCTGTTGACAAGATTTTTACTTTGCCTTTTCCAGAGCCGATTTGATAACCAAGAGTCAAAACCAGAAGATGTGGAGAGAATTACATACTTGGAGCAGCTGTACGTGAAGCTTCAAGAGTCGTGCGAAGCTAAAGATCTGGCGTACCAAAGACTTCACGGTACGTTTTTTTCTTTGTCACTTCTTTAGACGCATTGGCTGATCGCTTACGCGCAGGTGAGTCGAAACAAATCAAGATGGAAATGCTAAACCGAGAAGAAAACTACAACAAAATCTCCAGGAGCTCCCCAGTGGTCCAGCCGGTAAACTTACCTTACGTTTAGACTCCTCGCTTTTGGTTCGATTCTTTTGTCCCTCTATGTTATGCTAGACATCGATTGAATTGAAGCCAAGGAGCCCATCGCGATCGGCACAAGGCTCACGCTCAGCATCTCGTCAAGGCAACTGTGTAGAAATCTAGATCATTCTAAGGCCACCCGGTATAATTAAAGCCAGACGTCAGCATTGTTTTCTTCCCATGATCGATGTCAACTTGTAAAAGTTCGCATATTCTTTGATAAGCATGGTGAAACCGCCCCAAACTCTGCTGACCGCTGTTGACTCGCATAATTAAAGAAGACGAGCGACTAGCGAGTTAACCGGCGTAACATTGCCATTTACGCTAGGAGTTAATCCAAGTGAATTTGCTAGCGTGCATCAGAATGCTTCGATGTAGAAGCTTTCTTGCCTTTCGGGCTTGTATAAAATCGCATTGTGGCTGGACCTAAATCTCCGAAGATTGGGAGGAGCAGTGGGCGACGCTAGGCATCGCTCATTCCGAGTGTGGTGGGAACTTGTGAAGGATTGGTGCTTACTGAATTTGGTGCTGGCGGTTGGCGACCCTAGCGTCGCTCTTGTGGAGGCTGTGGAGCGATACAAAGTCAGCTCGGCTAAGATGACAACAATGAATGTGGATATCGCTGAATTTGCTGGTGGTATGTATGTGCCTCATAAGAATTAAATGGCTTAACGTTTGGTGTGCAGAAGAACAATCCAAGAAACTAACAAACATAATGAGTAGCTTGCAATCCACACTTTCCAGAATGGAGGGAGCCAAGCAAGATCTAGATTTCGATGGTATCTCGTCTCTCGAGCTCTTGATCTCTTCTTACAAGTGTATACTTAGCTTTGAAGTGCCTCATTTTGTGCAGAACCATTTGAAGCGCTCCTTGGTAATCCGGGTGACCCCGGCTGCGAGGATAAAGTAAAGAACATGATAGAAAATGGCTGGGATATCCACAATCTCGTTGATGACCATGGTGCCACCACTGCACTCCATTTGGCAAGCAGGAGAGGGAATCTCAGACTGGTCAAGGCTTTACTTCCCAGAAGCATCAGAGACATCCTCAAAAAGGATGGGCTTGGCAACACTGCACTTCATGCAGCTGTTATTAGCAACGTTGCGGGGGTTGTTGGGGTATTGCTTGAACAAATCAAGAAGAAGAAGCTAAAAGCTGTGGGCTTGTGCAATAACAAAGGAGAAACACCCTTGCACATAGCAGCTACATTCGTGGATGGAACAAATGTTGCCCGTTTGCTAACTTTACTTCCGACGAGCATTGATGACATCGTGAGGCCTGATAACAATGGGAATACACCACTTCATGTAGCTGCCTTTTGGTGCTACGATGGCACGTTCAACTATATGATTAAACGGCTAGGAGCCAACTTTGACGCCGATCAGTATGTCAACAACGATGGCAACACGCCTCTTCACGTGGCTATGACAGAAGGATGTGGCAATATGTGTCTTTTGTTGATAAAACTGGGTGCTAATCTTCACAAACTCAACAAAGCTGGCTTTTCACCACTGATGCTGTTGACAAAGGTGCGTCAGCCTCTCCAGGTGAGAATCATGAGGAAAGTCCTCAAGAGAATACTGTCAACCGACCCAGCAGGTATTTCTGAAGAGCTTATGCAATTGCTGACAGTTCCCGAGGTTGGGCATCTTTTAGTCTTGCATGGCTGCCTTTGTATTGGGAAACTGGACCTGGTGAAGCCTCTATTTAGGCACTTTGACGTCGAGCATAATCGTCTTGCCCAGCTACTGGTTGAGAAGGACAGCAGGTTTACAGGGGAGACCTCTTTGCATGTAGCAGCTTATGGACAGGATGTTGCGGTTCTGAACATGGTGGTGGAGAAACTGCAGGAAGGTGAGGACCCTTGGGACGTAGACTGCACTAACAACATGGGGCAGACACCTTTGCACATTGCATTTGCAGGAGGCAACACTAAAATGGTTGAGCGTTTGCTCGAGCTTAAAGCTGATATAAGCAAGACTGACAACATGGGCACTGGCATGTTGCACTTTGCTTGTAGAGGTAAAGGTAGGAAGGTTGAGGTTCTTGAGCTCTTGGAGGAGAAGCTAGGGGAGAAGCTGGAAATCAGCAAGGCAACAAAGACTGGCTTGACCCCGCTGCATTATGCAGCTTGGAATGATAAAGAGGAAGCAGGGAAATGGTTGATAGACAGGAATGCTGATTTGACTGCTGAGGATTCCATTGAAGGACTTATGCCATGGCATTGGGCTGTCATTGGAGGATCTGAAAAGTATACTTGGCTTGTCGACTCTCACTTGGAAAGAAGCGTAAGATTGTTTAATGGGAATGTGGACTTTGAAAGGTGGCAACGGGTGTTTCATTTAATTGAAGCCCATCGCTCACATGAGCCGGATTTGGTGTGTTGGAAAGTATTAAACCGTATTCAGGCGCAGCACAGGAAACTTGAGCCTGGATTATTGGCTTGCATTGCCGCTTTGGGAGATAGTGACACAAATGAAAAGCTTGCATCACTTCTCATTAAATTCTCATCGGACGAGCAGGCGAAGGATTACATTTTAAAAATAGTCAAGGAATCACGAATATTGGAATGGGCCGCATTCTATGCCAAGAACACAACAAGGGGAAGAACACGAGCGAGCGATGTAGAGCCAATGTTCAGGGCCTTGCAGATCTTAAGCCAACTAGATCGTCGTGGCAAAGAGCAACTAAATAGATATGCTTCTAGCAGCCAGTTTTTGGTGGATGCTTTCAAGATTGGTTTCCTTAGTGAAGATGTGTGGAAATCCGGGCTTGCCACGAGCCTAGCTACAGCAAGCAGTCGATGGGGGCTTGGCGATCTGATCAAGTCAGTCCTGCTGCCAAGTGCTCGTTGGTCTGACCAGGAATCAAACGAGAATCTAAACAAGGTCCACAGAAGTAGTCATTTGGTCCACATGAGCATCTCTAACTTGGTGGAGGACATCCCTCTGGCTTACTGGTTTACAAGGATGAAAGAGAAAAGCACAGCAGAAAGTACTGACAGTGGAAGATCGAACCAAGAGGAGAACAAGAGCAAAGCTCTTGTAAAGAAAGTTGAAGATCTTTTAGAAAGCAGGAAGATTGGAGGGATGCTGGAGTACCCAAATGACAAGGGGGTTCACACAGGCAGGACTGCCTTGCATTGGTCCACCATCTTTGAGGAGACCTCTACCACCCTCTCTATCCTTCATACAAGGAATTGTAGAGTTGACATATTTGACAACTTTGGAAAGGCACCATATTGGTATGCACCAAAATCCTGGAAAAACAGCTTCCTTCTCAACAGCCTGAAGTGGGAACAGTACCTGGACAACTTGCACAAGGACCGGGAACTGTTTGTAGATGCCCTCAATGCCATATTGGTGGGGGCAGCTCTGATTGCAGGTGTGACATACGCTGGATCCTTGAGCCCACCTCTGCAATACTCCCTGAAGCTCATGAAGCACGGCCAGCAGGAGGATGACCTCAAGTATGTGGCCATCAACTATCCAGGAGTGAAAGCATTCTGGATCTTCAACAGCCTCTCCTTCTTCTTTGCGATGGCAAGCGCACTGGCTGGAGTTGCAGGCATCCTCCCACTGCCCCAGGTGTTTGACTTGGGTGTGATTGACAGGCTGAGGTGGACACTGCTCCTCGCGGCAAGCCTGCTGGTTGGCTCGATTTGCTTTGTTCTTGTGGCGTTTGCATGTGCAGGCTTTTCAGTCTTGCCACCTTTGGTCCACTACAACTTTGTTATGATAGCCACATCGGTGCCAGGGGAATTGCTGTGCATGCTGATGACTTTTCTGTTTATCAAGGCGCTCTCCCCGCTTCTGTCCTGGACCTACACATGGTATACTGATGCCCGTGGTCTGAAAGCCCCGAAACAGCAGGTTAGAGTGGAGGAAACTGCCGTGGATGTTGACATTGAGGACCAGAATGACGGCAAGATCTTGACGTGGGTGCTAGAGCCAAGTAAACAACCGGTTTACTCTGGTGTGAGCTACCGGAAGATTCGTACTCTGTGGATGGATGGTTTGGAGTTGTCCAAGAAGTACCTAAGACATTCGCTTGATCTTAATAGTTGGGAAGCAATTAAAGAGTACCTAAGTTGTCTTGTCAATTTGTTCGCTCTTGCGCCTTCATCCTTCTCTGTTGCTTTTGACCACATTTGATCTCAAGAGTACCTGATTTGCTTCGTCAACTGTTTGATCACAGCTCTTGATTAAACCTGAGCTCGTGGATTCTGTCACAAGAGGCAATGTGTTATTGACAATAACAAACAACTTACCGTCGCTGGATGTGATCCCATGCTTTGAGAATACATAAAGGTAGTCCTCGTCTCTCGAGCTCAAGTGTAACTGCTCTGGCTTGGGCTTCATCAGTTCCAAGTAGCACCA